TTCACTTTTCACTCCACTGGTTCGCTGAGCTGCGACTCGGGCATGTATAGTAGCGTGCTTAATAATGAATCGAATGAATGAGTATTGGTGTATTCCTTGAATGATGCACAGGTCTCTGTTCGAAGTAATAAGTAGTAGTTCCTGTTTATTGGGGATGACTACTGTATGTCAAGCCCATGATTTCTGTGTAATTAATGTCCTTCCGTTTGCATGACAGTCTTATAAGGTATTATGCAGAACTGCTGGGGGAACTGAGGGCTTTCAGGCACTTAAGGCCGATTTGTGCGCAGTTGTGTAGCACAGTTAGAAAAAGCGCAGCACTGGTGCAATTCCAGGCTCCTAATTTAAATTGTAGATATCTCTGATGCTCCTGTTACTCTCAGTAAGATGAGTATCTGAGTTAACAAAGAGTTTTTTCATGAAATAAAGCCAACAGAAATGTACTGTGTCTGTGTGTGTGTGTGTGGTGTGTGTGTGTGTGTGTGTGGGTGTGTGTGGATGTTGACAAATCTCCAGCCACTCCCTCCTGAGGAGAGAGGATCCTGGTCCCCCAGCTCACTTTGATGCTGAGGTATAGGAAGGGTGTGATTGTGCATGTGGAAGCAGGAGTTCTGGGGCAGAGTGGAATTGTTGTGCTTAATAAGGAGTGGCAAGGTGGGTTCCAGGGAAGATCCTGAGCTTGGAGACAAGAGCCAGCGGAAACTGATCCCTGAAGAGAGGAAAGGGGTTTGAAAATGGAGAAAAGTTGAAAAAAGAAGGAAGATCATGGTGGGCTGGAAGAGGACACGTGAGAAGAGATTTAAGTTGATGGTTGTGTGGGGTAATGTGCAAAAAATTTTTCCCTACCTCCCCCATGAAACTGTCTGTACATTCTACTTTGCTGCACTTATGCCTTTGCAAATGGTACCATTTTTGGGGTAGGGCGGAAGGCTTGAAGAAGAGAAAGACAATTTTTCTCTGGGCTACCAGAAAAAAATTTTGATTTCTAGATGTGTCAAGTGAGCATTTAAGCTTTATTTCTCTCATTCATTCCATCATATTAATAACATCCTGTAAGATTTTCTTTGCCCTTGGGCCCCTCCTGTCTGATTTAAGTACTTCAGGTGAATTTGTTGAAAAAAGTTGGTGGAGTAAAAGCGTTTGGTTAAAGTGAATTGGTTCATCCTATTGATTCAACCCATTGATTTTCAGCCAAATCATTTGCTTGGAGTTTACCACTGGGTTTGATGCTGGGGCCTGAGACGCTTAACATATGACACCAAGCTTGGTTACTGGCACACAGCAATCTCACCCACACCAGCTGTCTGGAATTGAGTCCATAGAACAGCCATCAGAAGGAGCTTCTATTGTACTGCTAGGGGTTCTTCCAGCAAGTGCGGTGATCCTGTCAGCCTTCCTGCAACCCCGTGGCCCCTGCAATTCAGCTGACGGGTCTGGGCCCTTGTTTGGTTTAATATTATTGCTTTGCCGTCTGCTGTTATTTCAACAGGATAATCCAATAATGTTTTATCTCTTTCATTATACTGAAGGCCGTATAATTTTCTGAGTTTTAATCTATCTTCTTTTAAGATTCCCCTGAGACAGGGAAGAGCGGTTCTGTCTTTGCTTGATGGGAGGGCTCCCATGAAGGCTGACACTAGCACGCTGAAGCCAGCGCTGCCAAATTAAATTCTGAATCTCAATCACAGCCACTGTTTCTAATGGGAAATTGAGATTGATTATGGAGATGACAGCCCAGGTTCACATTTATTGCATTTAGCAGAAATTGTTTATCCTATTAAATACGGTCTTGAAGGAGCGACAATTGAATTTCGGAGCACCAGTGAATACCCGGGTGACGCCCAGGCATTGCTAACTGCGTAATAATTATATTCTTATTTGTGGAATGAACTTCCCCACGTGGCTCTTTCTGCAAACAAATACATTTTGGAGGAGGCTGAAACATAAGCAAGAATTAAACAAAATAAAGGCAAACTGTGCTTTTGGAAAATCTTGGCAACTGTGGCTTTCACTGGTGTACCGTTGAAGGAGCTGCAGTATTTGAGGAGGGGCAGAGTCCAGGCAGGACAGTTTGACTGTGGTCCTGGAAGCTTGAACACAGCACAAGATGCCTGGATGTGGGAGATTTTTGCATCCCAGAATATAAATCTTTGAAATGCTTTTAGCTCCATGTGCTTAATGTCCAAGTGGGAGGCTTTTCGTGTGACCTTGGACTAATAACATAACTTCTGTGGGAATAATAATTATTATAATTAGTTTAACAATAGTAATAATAATAATAGCTGCCAATTATAGAGTGCTTCCCAATTTATGAAGTCTTTTAACCTACATTATGTTATTTAATCTTCATCTGAATTTCATAAGGTAGATATTAATACGATCATTGGATGACAAGTAGAGAAAGCTTAGAATGGAAACTCGATCCTTATAACTAATGAGTCAACTATAGAAGTTAGGATGGGATACAGAGGTCAGGAGAAAGAGCACTTGCTGGCAGAGAATCCAGATAGAAGGAAAAGTCATCTCTGTCTTCAAGAAGAGGGCTCTGGCCTGCTCCCAAGTACTTATAAAAAAAAAAGTCCTCAGGAGAAAGTGGGCCTGGCACAGAAAGCCCTTGGGGACATCAGCCTGGTGACCTTCATGATCTGCATCTTGGTGTAAAAACATACTGGTCATAGGATCTTGCACACAGCAGCCCCTCCACTCGCCCTCCTGTTGAGGCCAATTCCTCACTCATCCTCCAGGTCTCAGCTATCTCTTCTTTCCTACAGCCTTCCTTGCTTCCATTAGGTTAAGAGAGAGATGTCTACTCTCTCTGTTTTCATTTCACTCTGTACTTCTGCCATCATAATAGAAGTAAGTCTGAAAGTCTGAAAATAGAGATAATATTTCATTTTACAGATTGAAGATGTCCTTAATGACATCATGTCTACTCACCAATGTTTCTAGACTTTGCAGACATTGTATAATTTACTTGCTGCTTATTCTTTCTCAAATATGGCATCCATGAAGGCAGGGACAGTATCTACTGTGCTAATATATCCCAACTTCTAAGTTTAGTGACTGGCACAAGTAGACCATCAATAAATAATTGTGTAACTAACGAATTAATGAAATGAATAAGTAGGGCCTAGGGAAGAACTTTCTCATGCTGGTGAGAACCTTTAGTGAATTTGTGGTACATGATAGTGGTATCATGAGAGTAGGGGCAGAGCAACCCCTACGATAGGGGCAACCCATATAGTAGTGAAGGATAGGCACTTTCAACTGGCTTTGTGGGCAGCAGTGCAAGAGCAAAGTGCAATAAAAGGGAAGAAAAAACAGCTGATGTCATGAAGGGACTGATAATACCTGTTTGGAGATTTTATTGTTGACACCTCCTGGGGACAGCCAGGAATCCCCATGGAAGCTCTGCCAAGGAAGGGAACAAAATCTCTGCAATTCTTAGTGGAGCAAACCTGAGAAGCACGTTGACAGGTTGATGAGAAAACCAAGGCTCAAGACATTTTAAAAGGCCTGCCTACTACGTGGCAGAGGTAGGAAAGAGGAACTGAAAAAAATCATCTTGCAACATTCTGCTTCACCCTCAGTGTTCTCATCTCTACATTAGTTTTAAACCTAGAATGGCCACAAAAAACCTAATGGCAACACATTAGCATAGGGCGTATTAGGTCTTTGAGATTCTCTGTTTATTGAATGTTGGCACAAATCAGATTTTTCTATGTTGTATTTTCTTCTTTGAGTTATCATTCTTAAATGTTAGGCCAGATTCCAATAATGAGGTATTCAGAAACTCAGGGATCTGTTTATGGAGATACTGGGGGTGTTGTCACAACCTCTTAGGCAAAACTGGAAGGACAGCATAGAGACAGGCCAAACAGCATAGTGCTTGGAAGCCAGACTGCTGACGTTTGAAGCCTGGCTCTGTGACTTAATGCCTTGTGGCCTTATACAAGTTATGTACCTGTCTGTGTCTCCATTTCCTCATTTGTAAGATGGGGATGGTGGCAGTGTCAGCCTCCTAGGGTGTTGTGAACATTATATGAATTACTGCATTTAGGAGAGCACCCTGAACCTAGTAAGCATTCCATAATTAGCTATGTCATTACTATCATCATTTCCAGGGATTTTCAAAACATCAACAAGAACCACAGGTTGTTTATTTTTTAGGTCATTTAAAACTGCTTTACAGACATTTCAGTGTAAAACCCACTATATCATACAAGAACAAAAAG